CCTGTGAATAGGTAGCCTGCTGGGGTCCCACCTCAGTTTCCCTTCTACTCATCCAGCGCAACCTTTGACAGCTTCGTAAGAAGATCTGTTAGATGTTCAGCATCACCTAGAAGTGCGAACAAGTTCAAGCGTTGTGCAGTATGTCTGGAATGCAGTCAATTTCCCAGTGATAATTGATCTTCGAAGACTGTTCACCGCTAATGCCACAACTGATAAGAAACTCGTGATCGATGCCTTCTTCCCTCTCCACAGGGCTCCCTATAACCTACTTTTGCTAGCTGACATTATCTGATCGAACGATTCCAAACTCCCGACCACGTTATGTGGAACACTTACAAACACACCCCATAGTGCGGTAAACTGTAGGGTTAGGACACTCATTACCATGCTTTGAACGACTGAACAATAAAAATTAACGCAGAAACGACAGAAATGGTTCCAACTGCCGCCTTCATCTAATGCCCGACTGTGGTCGCTGCTGCGCTGAATAAGGGGATAATGTGGGTAAGCTCGGAACTACAGGTTATCGAATCATTTGGTAATGCATTGCTTCGCAAATCATGCTTCAAACGCAGATTGTAAGAGAGCAGGCACAATTCGAGTTATCATCTCATTACTGATATGGCCGAATGAGCGCACTTCATTCAAACGTGGCGTAAAAGTGCGTTTTTTGTGATATATGCCCATTTGAGACAACTGTCATTCTGTCTTGTACTGGACAAAGGCATGATTCCTCATTGTCCTAACGAATCGTCACTGCCACGTCCGAATGGGGTCGGGGACACACCCTCTATCGATTACGTGACAACTAGAACTTTTCGGTGGAGGTCTGCGCGCGAAAGGTCAAAGCGCAGAGAAATAGAGGACTGCGGTGGTCAGCGAAAAGAAAAGTGCACAAAACATGCCGTTAGCCAGAGGATGAGCTTTTTCAGGGGTAGAGGACTCCGGGGTGGATAAGAAACTTATCATATGTGAATTTCAAATGTGCAAGTCACAGTGGTTATAAACTGCATGCAGACGTAAGAGCGCCCAGAAAATAAGAAAACTGGCGAGACTGAAGAAATTCAATTCGGGTTGTCCGTAGATCCTCCTCATCCGCGGGATATAAAGTGTAATTGGGTACACGGGTCACGAATTTTGCGAGTACTCCAAGAAGATGCAGAGCGTTGAAGCTAAATTCACTAGTCACAGGAATCTTCCGATTTTTGTGAGGAGTACAGCTCATCTGGGTTGCGGCAAGGGCTGCGAAAGAGGTGTGGCAGATGGAATCTCGTATGTGATACTCGCACAGACCGAATCTATTCAATGTGGAGACGCTGCTTCATATCAAGTCAACCAGCAAGGAACCACAGTGGTAGTTAAGCAGTGTTCAGACTTTACGATGACTCGCGTCGTAGCGCGTCGAGACGTTTACAGCGTGGCGTAGGGCGTGGACCGCGCAGCATCGCGAAGTCTGAATGCGGTCCTAGCGCACTACTCCGCCATTCAGATGTCCTCAGCTGCACTCTCGTTCAGTTCCTTGTAGACTTGTGCACCTTAAATTCCATTTGTCAACAAATTTACCCAAATTTTTCTGATTTTTACACTTTATATTATTTTATTATCATGTTTTATTTTTATATTCTCTTAAGCCATTATATCTTATAGTGCGTGCAACCTCTACTTCCGCAAGAACAATTGCAAACGGCCGGTGACACTACGAAAGGACGAAATTATGAAAAGAAAGCGAAAGCCGAGATTGGAGTCAACTCAATCCCGTGATACTGTAGTCATAACAGGCGCCCCTACCTCTACTGACATCAAACCAGAACTCTTTGCTTAATCATCAATATTTGTTGTTTGTTGTTAATTAATTTTGCATGATGTTAAGCATAATTTAAATTAGAATTAATCTCTGTCAAATGTAATAATATGTATTCGGATAAATGTTTGCTCAATTTATACGAAGTCCAATCAGGCACTCTACTAATGAGCAAGTTTTTGGCAGTATCGACTATTTCTGCGTAAAAATGATATTTGGTGATTCTGCGAAGCACCAACTGATCCCACAATACTCTCCCAGTATTCAGCTCTCGCCCATGTCGCGAAATAAGCTTCTTCCCAGAGCTGTCCAAAAACGCATAACATTCCTCGACAAAAAAACCTCTTCAATGCTTTGAAACTTGCTTTAACAGCCACACTAGGAAGGTGCTCTTACAGAATTATGAAAACGGGATCATTGAGGCTTCAAAGTTATGGAGGTAAAACGTAAGCGATCGCAGTGTGATGAAGCTTACTGTCCATCATCCACACACTTAATGGCAGAAGCCGGCCATCGACGGTTGCAGGTAAAGGAGCTCCAATATGAACGACAAAAAGCTAGGTAAATGATTACTGGAGAAAAAATGTAGGAAAAAAAAATAAACGCAAGTTCCGACGTCGCCTTAAAGGCTCCATCGCCGCCCTCAATTGTACGTGCACACAATGCAGGAGGAGGCGTATTCGACAATTCTCCACTGTCTTATCATACGATTAGCCAGCTTTCATATCATTCTCAATCGTCACCCATCCGGAAGTGAAGAGCAGATAGCATAGTGGCTCTAGCTAGTCACTAGCAGCCGGTGGGGTGTCGCACTGTGCCTAACCTCTATTGGCCAAGTTGGTCAGCTCAGCGGAGTTCTGTCGCCGATTACTTCCAAAGGTAGCCCCAGCCCTCGAGATCCGCCTTCCGGGATCATCTGACGCATTCTTACTTTAACCGCGGAAAGTGCCTTTAACTCTAAATTCATACACCGTGCTATTGGAGACGGAGAATTAGCGATAAAAGGATAATGTCTTCGCCGTTAATGTATCCCTTGTTGGGAAGCAGTACACATTCTACTTCCATTTAGAATCATAAGTGACTAGAATCTATGTGCCTGCAAATGACTTGCTCGGCCCGCGACTGTGTGTGTTTCTGCATCTCTCCGAAAGAGTTAGTAGCCAGTTTGGCGGTCTCGAGATTAGAGTTTAGTGTGTCACTTGAGCGATGAGCAGGTATGGAATTACGCGTAAGACCGCCCTGTGATAGAGGCATTGTTCGACGACAGTGTTTGCTCGACTTTTCTTACGATAACAGATGTTGGGGAGATAGAGAATGCTAAAATATTATTCTCGATCTGGAGAGTTGCGCTACCGCCCGTTTTCGCCGAATCTGCGCCGCCGCGCGTTTTGGGCGGTTGGCGAACGCAAGGTGTGTATCGATTTCGCTGTCGAAAACCCACGGCGATAAAGCTCGGCGTTTCATTCGGAAGGCGAAAAACGTCGCGGTTTGGCGAAACGCCCGTCGATTCGTATCAAAACCCTTTCGCCCAACCGCCAGACTCTTCGCCCAACCGCCAGTCGATACGTATCGAAAGCTTTTCGCCGAACCGCCGCGTTCCAGAGAAACGCTGGACCGCAGACTGTGAACAATAAGCTCGCCACTTGCCACTACCCCACCTCATGCTGTTGGAGTCGGAAAACCGGGGCATTGCCTCTGCAATACACTAATTGCACTCACTTTATCCACAGGGGTGGAGACTTGAACCTACGCCATAGTATTTCGGCAGTTAAGAGAACTCAGTGCTAAGGTTGGAAACACTGCTTCTCCACCTTCTTCCGTCACTGCCGTGTCCTTTTGATTGGCGAGAATCACACGGTTTGTCCGACCCGACTGTGGGCGTGAGCGCGTCATTTCAGGAGCAACTCCAACTTTAGCGCAACCGTGCACTGAGCTTTTCCAGTTGAATTAAATCCTTCCGGCCCTCAACATGTACAACAAATGCGAAGCTCCCTACATGTTTTTTGATCATTTGACCTATTTAATACGCCACACGTAGATCCCTGGGCGTAGCGAACCACACTCTGAATATATAGCACGCACTTAACATAGCCGATGTGAATTCTGTTGTAAAAGGAAGGTGGCTCAAGCTTACCACAAGTACTTCGATTTGTTCAAGTTGCGAAAAGCTCTGAACACAGCCTACGGCTATAGTTTCCACTACTGGATGGTTAGATCTATTTCTGTCGCCTTGACATACGCTCATTCTACTAAGGATGCGACGAGCATCACTTCCTTATCAAAGATTCCATTTCACCTTGTGCATATGAATCCATTTAATAACAATTTATCAACAAAAATCGACAACAATTCACTCTTGAACAATAGTGGTCTTCTCTGACACGTAGATTCCATCAAGGAACTTACGGATATCCTTTTCTTTGACAGATGTAGACTGCTGGATGCGAGCAGCTGAATTACGAATTCATGAATGACGGAATCTGAGAATTGATAGAGTGAACTAACCGGCCTGAGATACCAGCTGGATATCGTTTCCCTCAATGATAAGCTCGTCCTTTTGTGAAGTGGACAAAGTGGCAGTAACACCTTCCGGAAGAGGTACACGACGAACAATCTTCTCTCCAAGGAAGTTACGAATCTACAACTAGTTCTGGTTAGATCG